AGAATGCCTTCTCCACTCCACTCCCAGCTCTCCCTTGCTAACTCCTGCCCCATCAGAACTGCTCTCAAGCATGAGCAGAAGGCTGCATCTTGCTGTATGTGCTCCTGGCTTTCTATTCTTGCTCCCTGGAATATATCAGGTCAAACACTCACAAGGAAGTATTTATGGACTCTCCCCTCCCACAGCCTGCCAAAGGGAATTATATTTGGCTAGCCCAATATCTACCCTTTTCCCAGCTTCACTGAAGAGGAAAGATTTTCTTGCAGGGGAAAAAGACTTCATTGAAAACAACGCAATGAGAGAGATGGGGAAAGAGAGGAGGAAAAAAGAAAAATCATGCAAACTCAGAATACGTTTTTTGTTAGATGGATTGAGGAAACCAGTGTCTGAGTAAGGTGAGGAGTAAGGAAAAGGATAGTAGAGGAAAGAGAATTTTAGTAGGTATTACCATGGACTTTACATATAGATTATTTTTTAATGGCTTTTAAAGGATTTAAATTTAAAAAAAAATCCATGTGGAATTTAAGAAACAAAACAGAGGATCATAGAGAAAGAGGGGAAAATTAAATAAGATGAAATCAGAGAGGAAGACAAACCATAAGAGACTCTTAACTCTAGGGAACAAACTGAGGGTTGCTGGAGGAGAGATGGGTGGGGGGATGGGGTAACCGGGGGATGGGCATTAAGAGGGCACATGACGTGACGAGCACTGGGTGTTTTATGCAACTGATGAATTATTGAACTCTACATCTGAAACTAATGATGAACTATATGTTGGCTAGTTGAATTTAAGTAAAGTAAGTTTTAAAAAAATCCAATTTCTTTCTACCTAAATTTGGGTGTTGAAGTAGGTCTGGATGTGTGCAGAGGTAGAGCTATATGCTCTCTCAGATATATTAGGGTGACAGTAACATTTATCACAATGTGAAATTATATGTTTATGTGATTGATTCATAGTAATGGAAGAAGAAAATGTGTCTATTTAAGAAACAGTCATGCCCCAACCCTTTGCACAGCCCCTGACAGAAAGAGGGCCCTCAGTAAGAATATCTTGACTAAACAGATGTGTTAGAGAAAGCCAAGGCTATTGCCTGGGTCTAATTCCCTTCCCCTTGCATTCCCTTCATTTTATGGCCGCTGCTGTCCTTGCCAGAATCCCACCCAGATCTGTGCTATTGAGCAAATGAACTTCAGTGGGACTCCCTCCTTTTTGTTGACATTTTGTTAACTCCTTTCTGGAGTACTAGATTCTCCTTAGAGCCTAATTCCCTGTGCAGGGTATTTCCTGCAGAAAGCCGACCTCAGGCCTCGGGTTCATTCCAGGGTTCAGAACTTTCATTCTTAATATAGAATGTGGAAATTCTACAACCGGTGGGAAAAAAGTATGCCAAGTAGATAAAAATCAGTCCCTCTGCAGCATAACTCTCCAGAGAGAAGAGATAAAACTGCTTGATGCTTAAGTTAAAAAAAAAAAAAGTAACAAAATATTTCCAGTTCCGGAAACTGAATTTCATTCCTAACGTAAATATAGAAACCTCTGGAGAAGAGCATACTTGGGAGAGGGAAGGAAAGCAAAGGGAACAGGAGGAAGGGATTTCACAACCCAACTGTGCAGCTTCATAGCAAAGAAACCACCTGAAACATCAACCACGTCTTTAATAGTAGTTGCCCCGGTCAGAAAACGGAGTTTGTTTTTGACTTCTTCCTCTCCCTCAATCCCCAGGTTGCATCAGTTGCCAAATCCTGGTGGTTCTCCCTCCCTAAGTCCTTCTCTATTTTTTTTAAATGATTGAGTATACTTGACATGTAACATTGTGTAAGTTTAAATTTCACAATGTGCAATGGGTTGGTTTACTACATTTATCTATTGCAGTATGATTACTACCAGCACGTTAGCTACCACCTCCATCGTGTCTCATAATTACCATTTCATTTTGTGATGAGAACAAATAAAATCTACTCTCTTAGCAACTTTGAAGTATATGATACTTGATCGTTGACTATAATCACAATGCTAAATATTTCTAATCCTATCTCTCTTCTTCCTTTGATCCTCCTAGTCCAAGCTATTCATTTTTCACCTGGACCATTGCACTGGCCTGATAGATCTTGTCCATTTCCCCACTGCCTTTCTTCAATTCTTTCTCTATGTGGCAACAAGAATACTACTTCTAAAATATACGCTTGATCCCTTGTTTACAGTGTCTACGACCCCACACTATTCACAGTTACAGTAAACGTCTGTTGTCGTGTGGATAACAAGAGAATAGAGATGAAGAAGGAAAGACAATAGACTCGGAGGACTCCCGTAAGGGACTTGTTATAAAAGGGGAGAGGGTCCAATAGTTCTTTTCTTTCCTTTAAAATGTGATCATATTGTAGGTTGCTAAGAAAGTACTACTGAGGAAGGAGAAATTGATGACTTTGGAGAGAGAGTGTAATAATTCCAGGAGCCACATTCTTGAGAATGTGAGTGATGGGAAACATGCTAGGGCAAGCATAGCCCTGAGCATGGTGTGTTGGCAAGACTTCACTTCTCTGGAAGTCTACCTAAAACTGAATTCACTCATGAGGGTCTTTCAGCAAGGCAAAAGGAGATTGGAAAAAAAAAAAAAAAATGATGTATACATTTTTACATTGAATGTGGCCACTGTATAGGGATTTTTTTCACAATTACATATTCCATTTTCCCATATTCCCATTCCTTTCCATTGACCTTAGGTACTTTTTTCTCATATAGTCAGCTCCAAAGGCATTGACCATGGCCTTCCATGCCCTACTTTCCCTTATCTGCTCGGAGAGTTCCTATTCACACCACTCAGGCATTCCCGCTTTGCAGTGTTCCTTGATCTCCATGGAGAGGGCAGATCACTCTGACCCTCAAATCAGGCTGTGTAAACATCTCCTTTAGCAACTTGTCTTTTGGCCAGAAGCCCCAAACTGACATTCTAGAGGCTCATGGATTTTGTTTGCCCAATGCAGTGTTTTTAAAACACTATTTTTGGATTAGAGGACAACATTTACAAAAATGAAAATTTTACACCAAAAAAAAAAAAAATCCAATAATATATATAGCATTCTTGGAAAATGAAAGACGGGCATCACTGGGCCCAAATTCCCACGTGGGAGCAACTGCCTATAGAGCAGGCAAGGTGCTCCCTGTCCGTTTTCACCCCAGCTCACCCCTTGGGCTTTGTCAGCATAGCTCCTGTGGACAGATACAAGGCTGTGAATGTACGTGCCATGCTGAGCCGAGACTTGGGCCCGAGGGGCAGGAGTTATGACTGGTTTGCCTGTGCATCCCAGCATCTAGTGAAGTGCCAAGCACACCTGTTCTGAATTGACTTTCCCACGTTCCGCAGTGTCACCTTGCACAACCTGCATGCCCCCTCGCACGGCCTGTTTCTGAACGCAGGTATTCACCCCCAAAGCTCAGATCCTTACATCTACCTTCATCCCCGCTGCCTAAGGCGCCCACGCCACTTGGTTACCGAATCCTTCACATCTCCGCTCAAATGTCACTTTCTCTGGAAACCTTCCCCAGCCCTTCAGCTTAAGTCGGATCCCACTGTAATGTGCTTTCAGAGCACTCTAGACTTTTCCTCATTGCCATTGTGGGGTTGTTAGTGTTTACTTGCGTGGTTGCTTCACGTGGGCTTGCCCCACTCGACTCTAAGCCCCGTGAGGGCAGGCCCAGGGTGCCGGCACTCACTGTGGAATCTGCCGCACCTCCCCTGGCGCCGCGTGCTCAGTAAACCTTCAAGGTGTATGTGAACGAATGAGTGAACAAATGCTTCCAAGAAATAGGCCTTAAGGAAAGTGGAGGCCTGTGTGGAGAGGTGTAGATGTCTGCTTTAGTCCGTGGAGCGCTGTGACATGCATGTGTCACTCTAAACTTCCTAAACTGCTTTGATTTGAGTCTGGATTTGTCTAGTCGGCGACTGTGAGCAACCCGAGGGCAGGCTCTCTTGTTCATTTTTTTATTTTTCTGTGTCTAATACAGGGACCTGCATCTACTACAGAATTCCAAAAATGTATATTGAATGACCAAACTAATGAACACAGACTCCCTTCTTAAGAAAATAATGAGAGTTTCTCGACTTATTAACTTACTCATGACACTCTGTCATTACTTCAGATTGAGCTCTATTCCAGAGCCGAAGTGTATCGACAATGGCCACCACAAATGATCAAGACGGTGGCTGTATGATGCCCTGTTAGTTCTGGTCATCAACTTTCTGTGGTCTCTGGCCTATTTGCTAAGTTTTTGAGGCATTTTACGAGCATCGTTAACCTTACCATGTCCAATAATTGCAAAAGCAGGGGAAGCATTGAAGGATCAATTGGAAAGACTTACGATGATGATGGAACTTAAAGTGAAATCATTTTACAAGAGAAGGTGCCTACTGGGTGTCTGTGGAATGTTTGACTCCAGATAAAGTTGGTTTTATCCAACAGAGAGAGTGTCTTATCCACCAGGGATCTAAAACTATAGATCATGGAAGGTTCTGAGTTCACACATGCCTCCTCATCAATGAGCCGGGGCACATAACTAATTGACCATAAGGCTCACTGGGACTAATTAGCAGCTGTATGTGAAGAGCTTGGTTCAGACTTGTAGCACAGAGGATGGCATTCTAGAATGGCCAGATCCTGGACTCACAATTCAGTCACCGCCCGGGGGGGGGGGGGGGGTGTCGCACTGCTTGGCTGGTGAAATGGTTGGGGCTCTTGGCTCCTCTGTGGGCTGGTGTGCGCAGGTGCGCATCCATCCACTGCCGGCAGAGGGCAGCAGTACGCTGTGCGTGTGCAATTTGCATCCCAGATTGGCAAATCCCCAAGGATTTACAAAGAAAGCGAGTGGGTGTCCGAGGACTACCCAGATTTCTTTTCTCTGGGTGTCAACACTGGTCTGAGTAATTGCAAACACAGACCTTCTACATATGTTGGACTTTGGCTCATCTGAAATCCTGAAATGAATACACAACTAGAAGCTGCCATCACAGACAGGAAGTAACTTTAATTAAATATTGTGAAAGTTGAAAAGTTTTTACAGCTTGAATTTTTGCAAAAAAAAAAAAAAATTATAACAATCTCTACAGTAGTTAGGTTCTCTAACAATTGAACTGTACAGTGTGTGTCTATTCAAAAAGTTTGATAAGAAGGTGAAAGGTTAGTAGATTCAGAGATGACTTCGTTAAGCTGCATCCTAGTACAATGTGAGGCCAGGGCATGTCAGGCAATCCAGTCATCCAGAAGCTGTATTTTTCCCCCAAAACTGAAATCTTAATTCTCTGTTTCATTTTCTTCTTAAAGCCATATTCTGTATTTAGGGGAACATTTTTTATTTGTAGAAATTTTGTGCAGAAGAAAGAGGGTCAGAGGGCCAGAACATCTTTTCATCTAATCAATATAAATAGAGGTGACAGAACACAAATTATACACATTTTAAAGGCTCTTTGGACTTTCCAGAAAAGTTCTAACCACTACACATGGCTGACAGATGGGTGGCGTTTGTTGTCAGGGTCTGAGCCGGACACCTTGCCGGCTGACCATTCCTTCACAAACAGTTAAGGGGCTCACCAGACAAAATATGGCTTTAAATTGTATACATCTTCAGGCCAGCACTTACCACACGAATTCAGACAAACTTTCTGAGTACCGAGAAGCAATGCGTCCACCTTGCTTACATTTTCCAGTTTTTTTTATTATTATTAATCATCATTATTATTATTTCTCACCTTGAAAAATCAGCTTTCCTCCCCTCCCTTCCCTCCCACGACTCCCCTCCCGCACCCGCCCCAACCCATAAAAATCGCACTCTTGACAGTCTAGTGAAAACCATTGCAAAATCCATATGGGGGCATGCACAGTTGCAGCATTGTTGTAAATTTCTTGCTCTACTAGAAAAAGTTACATTGTCTTAAGGTAACAAAACAGTTCTTTTGTGCTTTTCCATTTCTTTGTTTTTTTTTTTTTTCTTTTTTCTTTTTCTTTTTTTCTTAGAATGTTAGTGATGACTGACAGTTCCGGTGCACAGTTACAATGTACAAGTGAAATGAATATGATTTGCATTGTTAAGGCATCCAATCTGCTGGTTTATATTTATGTGAAAGACAGAGGAAATATACAAGCAGACTTAAGAAAGAAAGTATGTTCATTGATTTCTATGAAGTTTCTCCCCCAAATTTAATGCACAAAATGCGTCACTCCAAAGGGAGAGATTCCATGCATATTAATAGAGTAAAACAGCATTAGGGTTTTTTTTTTTCTTTTTGTAAGCTTCCAAAGCAAAGGATACATTTTTTTTTTAATCTACAGAACTAAATGCTACAAGAATAATATGCTACTATTTTTTTTTTTTGCCATATATTGGAAAAAACTTCTTAACTTACAAATAATACAAAAATAGACAATGGCTTTTGGGTGGAAATAAAAAAAATTGAAGCATGGTTTAAAACAAAACTAAAAATAACTATAAATGAAATGTTTAAAAATCACATTGAAACTGCTAATACAACTGTAGGTGACCAAATACGCACTTTTCACATAGCAAACATACACAATAAAATAAACTGGGAGTGGGAGGAAAAGGAAGAAGGGGAAAGCAATGTACAAATTCCAAAGATAAATACATTATTTATATGGATATTTTACAAAATCCCCTTTAAAACAAAAAGCCTTTTAATTAACTTTGCAAGTATGTGCAAGCTAAAGGTAGTGAGCTTTTTTTTCTTTGCAAAATATGCAGTAAAATCTTTTTGTGATATTGAAAAACTGTCTTAAGACATTAAAATGTATAAATAGAACAACGACTTTGGCAAAAATCACAAAAAATCTACAGTATTTATAACTACATACAAAAACACAACAGCAAAGGAAAAACTATCAGGCAAATGCATCCTCAGAGCTTTGCTGCATCTTTGCTATTTATTCTTACTTTTAAGAACACTTCCCAGATGATGAGAGCAAAAATTCCATAGAACAAAAAGCTATGTTTTGGAGCTCTCAACCTTCTTCTCCTTTCTCCCAGTTTTCCTTTTACTCTTAATTCCAAAGCACTTAACCTGTCGCTCTAATCTATTCGGTTACAAACGGTAAGGGTCACCGAGAGAGGTGCGTTATCTCAAGTGGGAAATCTGTAACACCTGCCATGTTGCTTTTGTCAGCTTTTGGAGGATTGGTTCTGAAGTCAGCATTTAGGATGAGTAAACTTTAAACTTGCAAATGGCGGCGTGAAAGTGGGATTTTGGCTTGATAACTGGAGAGCATAATGTGGAATTCTGTGCCTGGACCCTGTTCCATGAAGTCTCACAGGAGATTCTCACACAGTATGTTTGCCATCAAGCTCTCGAGAGGCCATCGGCTTCAGAAGAAGTTGACACAAGTGAAAGAGAGAATGATACCAGGTTTAAATATGCAGTTTTAACAATCTGTCTAGAGGCACTGGATTTTTGAGTAGAAGGGAAAAGTGTGATCACTTACATCACTTTTTAACTTTCCAGGCTGCATTTATTTACACAGTTACTTAAGACAACAATACAAAAGAGATAAATAAGCTTGCACTGCTAAGGGATGGCATGTTAAGTTAGATATTGAAAATGCACTGTCTGAGCTAACTACCATTTGATATGCTTTAAGGCGCAAAAGCCGACCCTTAGTTTTCTAAAAAATCTAACTGGCATTCCTATTCTGTCCCATACAAGCTTTTTTTTTTCTTTTTTTCTTTTTTTTTCTTTTTTGACTTTTTTGTAAATATCACCACTTCATTCTCCCTTTACACAGCTTTAAAAACATCATAAATTAAAACATGGAGTCTTATTTATAGTGTCCCTTGTATACAGCTTTACGGTTTATAAAAGACAAATGATTGCAGAGTTAAGCTTAAAAAAAAAAAAGAAAGAAAAAGAAAAAGTGGATTTGCTTTTATCAACACAGAATAAATATATCCCCCAAATACTTGGGAGGTACAACTTTTAACCAACACTCTGCACTTGCAGATCCCTTCCAATTTCAGTATTTGCAAGGTCGGTGATATTGTTTGTTTAAAAATCTGCAGTTATCGTGATTCCTCTTAAAAAGGCCTGAGTTAAAAGTTCCACTCGGGGACTTGTATCAGATTACTCTCTGTAGCAGAATCCAACCTCTTCATTAATAAAATTCTTCAAGGCAATTCTTTCACATGGGAGGAACAATCATGCCAGATATCGCTGTGGAAAGAGAAGACAAAAGTCAGTGGTTTTGCATCCAAATTTCTCACTGAGGGGGAAAAAAAAATGGGAAAAAACACCCACACACCACTATGTTGGTTGAATATTAGTCACAAATGTGCTCTCATCTTCCCTGGAACGAGGGTTTGTTATAAAATATACATGTACTTTATTAAGAATGGTAATATATCAGCCTGTGTATGTGTCTTTAACAGAACAGAAGAGGCTAAGCATCCTCCAAGTCTGATTTCAATTTTGAAACGTAGCTGGAAAGTTGCATAGTTTGAATACTGCTGGGAAAGTTGCGGCCCCAAACCTTGCAAAATAGTGAAAATTTTCAATTTGTCACTCTTTTTCCCCCCTCCCCTTCACTTCCATAATATAAAATTAAAAAAAAAAAACAACAACAACAACAACAAAAAAAACCCAGTTCATCCCAACTGCCAGCAAGTTCTACAAAAAGCCCACGCTCTGTGCTCTGCGCGTGCACGAAGACAGGGCGCTAGGGCAGCAAGCAGAATGCCTTCATTTCAGTCGTCCGTGCCTGGGAAAAGGAGGTGCCAGCCACCGAGGGCCTTGTTCCCGGGGCCGATGAAGCTGGGAGAAGAGCACGGCGGAGGAGGCAAGGCAGGTTTGCATGAAACTACAGCATGTTTCCTATACTACGGCTTCACTCAAGGCTCCGGAATGGTCTGACCACGTTCCTAGAAAATTATAGCCTAGGAAAGCTGGGGTAAGGTCCTGGGGTAATCAAAAAACTCTTTCAAAGTGTTCCGAGTTAGCAGGCCGCATGCAGCGGTATTTAGAAAAGCAGGGAATCCGCTAGGCCAGCCTTCCACCTCTGGCTTTCCTGCTTTCTGAGTAGGATGCCCTTCCTCCTCCACCCCCCGCCCCCAAGGTAGTTACTTGTTTCCTTGAACCTCTGCCTCCTCAGCTAGAAAATGTAGTTAAGGGTATTTGTAAGGGCAGTGACATTTTTAGGGTTGTTGGAGATTTAAACAAAATAACATATGTGAAGTGCTTGGCCCAGAGTCAGCTCCTAGTAAAGACCTCATAGAGGTTAGCTGCTGTTGCTTTTAATCCATCCCTTCTGCTGCCAAACTAGCTGTGTGACCTCGTGCTAATGGTTTGACTTCTCTGGGCTGTGTTTCCTCTTATACCAAATAGGCACCACCTCGTACAGCATACTTCACATGATGAGCACGAGCAATGGAAGGACGTCTGTAAGAAAGTTAAAGCAGTATGGCAACTGTGAACTATGCTGGGGGAAGAGCGATGCGTCCATTAGAAGCAAGAGGCAGCCATCTTTGCTTCCAAAGAGGAGAGAGAAAGCCATGGCTTTCTTCTCGTTGGCAATTCTGACTTTAAATTGATGTTCTTGTCAGCGATGACTGATACCAGGAAGTGGCGCTCTTCGTATCCCAACTCTCATGTCCGGAAAAATGTGCCTGTTTTTATGCAAACCCCAACTACCACAAATCCTGCTGCAGACACAGGGTGGCTAGGTGAGGCTCTAAAGCCCTGCAGCCTCTGCACCCCTCCTGTTTCCCCTCCCCCACCCCCGACATTTTAAATTCAATTAAAAAATGTATTTTGCCAAACACTTTTTCCGTTAATTTTTAAACCCATCTGTATTCACAGGGAAATTTAATCCACATGTTTCTGATTCATGTACACGTAAATCATCCAAATGTTGTTTTGCAAGAGCCGTTTTGCAGTCCAAAAGCTCCTGGAGTCTTTTTCGTAAGCCCTCATAAGCCATTTTTCTTAGAAACAGGAAGTGTCTCTTGCCAAATGCAGACCAACTTAAACTCCCAAAGATTCGGGATCAGTTGGAAAAGCAGTCCCCCTAAGATTCAAGTGAGCCCTAGATCTGACGGAAGCGGGGAGCTCAGATTTTTAGCCCAAGCCTTAACATGAGAATTCAAGATGCTGCAGCTCCAAAGGCAAGGGGCCGGGGGGTCTCTGCACCGGGACAGCTCAGCATGGCTCTGCCTCCCGAAGGATCTTTCATCTAGACTGGAGGGGGGGCCAGGCACCCTTATTAAGGCCAGGCCTTTCTGTGGGGGTTCTAAACCTCCAGCAAGAGAACCAAGTCCTAGTTTGCTCTCCACCCAAACCCACTTTGTGCGCCTGGCATTAAAGGGCAGTCCCCTACAATACGGCCAGGCAGCTCAGGCAGCGTCGATGGGATGCAAAGCAGAGAACTGACAAACTTCCCGCTAATTGGGTCAGTGGGACCAGCCAACATTTAGTAATTGGACCCTGAAAACATTAGGGTTGTTTTTTAATTCTGAATGGCCAGAGGAAAAAAAAAATCTAGCCGTGTTTTGTACCTGAATAATGTGCTAGATTAATTAGATTAAACCTCCACTAGGGCCCCATTAGAAGTTACAAAGCAAAGCTAACCGGCGTGCCAGTCCATAGCTAACAGTGCTTCTTAATCTGGAATATAGGGGTCACAAACTCCAGCGCCCCGAGAGCCCAGACTGGGAACAGAAGCGAGCAAAGTGCACTAATAGGGGTGGAGGGACTCTGCCAGGGGCATGGCAGGCCTTCTCTAGAGTGGGCTCCCCACAGTTACTGCACAGAAATGCCTGCTCACGACCACCAGATCTTCTGAACTCTTGCAAGAGAAGATGGAGATGTGAATTTTTTAAAATACAAAAGAGCCCAGTTTATACCTCGTAGCAAATAATTAAAATTAAAAACAAGCCAACAGACTTATCTGAGGGTACCTAGGGGGTGGCTTTGGTCTGCCCACACTTTCCTAACCTTGCCCTTGTTGGCCCTCAGACTTCTCTTAGAGTCTAAGGGAAACCGTGGAATCTCATTTGTACCTACACCCCAAACCCTGATTATAATATCAGACTTAAGTCTCATCGGTGATCTCCTAAGCTCCAGACGCAGAACACTTACCGATAGATCAATTTTAGGAAAAGTTCTCTGTTTGCAGCCTCTGAGTTGCTATACCTCTAAAGAGGCCTTTTTATAAAGTAATCCCACTGCATGATTGCAGGGAAGCTCCTGGGTTTTTAGGACCTGTTTTTCTTGTATCTGTGCTGCAATCCTCAGGATTACTTATGTGGGTGAGAGGGATGGGTGTTTGAGGCTTGGAATGTTCCAGAAATGCCGCTGGCACACTGACTTGCCCAAGTGGGGGCCATGAAGATTTCCATGAGGACACAACACTCTCAGCAACACATGCCAAACATCACAAAATATCATAAGACCGAGGTGGCTCTGCCATTTTCCCCGGCAGCTGGGTGATCACGTTCTCTGACAGAAGGTCGGAAAACTATTGGTTTGAAAGGCCATGCATTTTGCATTATGGTTTTCACATTTTGATAAGAACAAAGACAAAATGAAAAGTTTTGCAGAGCTGGGAGAGTTTGGAGTGAGAGAGTGGAATGTGGTCTTCCTCGAACCACCATATGGGTAAGAATTATGAGCTAATCAGGACCAGAACGGGGGTGGGGGGGGTGGATCTTGCACAAATTGAGCATGTGCCCAGAGCAAAAGACAATTCCACGAGATCACCGCTGGACTACATGATATCTAGAGTCAGGTGGGGCCAGCCAGCCTGAGCTCCAACAAGGTGAGGAAAGAAAAAAAAAAAAAATCAGTGTGTGTGTACAATTTCTGTGAAATCACTCTGGTCTTTTGTTTTTAATTTTTCATTGCAGGGACTGTCCAGGACATGGTTAGGGTTTAAAATCACTACACTATGGGGCATGCTGACAGCCTCCTTGGGTCTGCCTCTCTCTTGATTAATGAAGTCCTCTGAGGCCTGAAATTGCATAGAATCCATGCTCTAGGGGCCATAAGCCTTTGGAGAAGGGGGAGGACGTCTCCAGGACAATGGCTGAGCAGAGTGGGTCACTCAAGTCTTTGACCTATGAAAATAGACACACCGGGGGAGTCGTCAGGATCAGGATTTATCAATGACTTTAGCTGGATGGGAATGGAAGAAGACGTCTCTGCCTTTTCTCTTTAAATCCAAAATACAGCTACATTTTCCAAAGTTTTTCATGGGATGTTAATTGGTCTTAACACTCAGAAAGGGTTCTCTGGGCAAATAAATTTAGAGAACTAAATGGAATACTCTTTTTTTTATTTAACTGCAGGATGTCTGTCTCAGAGCTTTTAATAAACTTAGGTGCATTGTTGCTCTCCAAGACTGGGATTCAGTAAGCACCCCACTTTCTAGATTTGTTTAACCACAAAATTTAGATTTTTTTAACAGCATATCTTGTGAGACTCCAGAAGTGCTGAGACAAGAGTTGCTTTATCCTAAAAAAATTTCTCAGACATATGGTAATTTGTCCAAGGTTTTATCTACCTGGGAGAGAAAGCCAGTTGGCACCGCAGGAGAAATTGTGAATTATAAAATATATGGAAAGAATGGAATTTATGGCTTCCACGTAAGGACTTCCTTGTTCAACCTCATCCCCACTTCCTGGGCCTCCATGCTCCAGGATGCCAAGTGGCTTGCTGGTTACTGCACATTACTCTTTGGCTCCAGTTATCTTTAATCCTCTGCTTCAAATGCCCCCTCCCCATCTCCCTCTGCCTGAATCCTCCTTGCCCTTCATGCAAGGTCCAGTTCAATGGCAGCCTTCTCCAGGAGACTACTCTGAATTCTCCCCGATCTTTCCCTCCTCTGAACTTCTACAGGTGGGCACCCGGCCTCTCCTAGACAGATCTGTCTGTTTTACTGGGGTGTTGTGTTTCCTTTAACACAGGGAAAGATTTGAAGGCCAGGATTTTGTAGTCCACCTGGGCCTAACCCAGTGGTTTCACAATAGTGTAACCATAGAGCATAGGGACTTACTATCAGTCTGCTAGGGTTTTAACCCCAGGCTCTCCCAGTTTGTTAGCTGTGTAACTCTGGATGAGCCATCTTGGCTCTAAGGCTCAGTTTCTGCATCTGTAGAATGGGGACAACAAACAGCCTACATCAAGGGTGGTTGGGAATGAGATAATGTAGAAGCCTGGCTGGGAACAAGCCCTCCCATGTTAGTAGCTGTGACCATCGTCATCACCATCATGCGAGACTGCAATGCGTGTTTGTTGGGGAATAAACATATATGCAGTCACTAGAGACGGGGCCGAGATGGGGCTGCTGGGGAAAAGGCCTTTAAGGAGCTGGCTAAAAAAAAACCCAGGATGATATACAATTCGTAGAGTGGCAGTTGGAAGTACACAGGTCTTTAAAACCCTCAAATAGCCTAAACGTGTCACCTCTGATCTTATTTAAACAGTCCATTTGCTTAACCAACTCTTCCTTTGTCACTTGCCCGGTCCTAATGATCACAGTTCTGAACTAGGTGGGTCCAAATGAAATCACTGTAACAACGAAAAGGAGAAGGACGGTAACACTGCAGAGGTCCCCCCGCCCAGCCACCCCGCCATTCTATAACCCACCCACGTCCTTTCTCCATAGATAAGCAGAGTCTAGAAAACTAACAGTGAGGTCATTCTTTAGTTGCAGGTCTAGAAGCCCATTGTCCCAATGTCCCTGTCTTCAGGGGAGACCCCAAAGCTTCAGGCAGGAGCTCCCCAGAAGCAATGGCATAACGCACCCTGGGCAGCAGTGATGGTGTACAGAGGGCCAAGGTGCGGTCCCAGGTGTGTGGGCCCTGCCTCGTGAGGGTGGCAGGAAGACGGACAGGATCGCTTCAAAAAAACTGGTGCCAGTTAATTCGACTTTAATGTCTCTACTCATACCTCCTCCCCTGCCACCCCTCAGGAGCTGTTTGGTACATGATGGTATTGGAAAAACAAAAACTAGCAGAAGGAATCTCCTGGACGCATGCTCAAACAGAAGGCAAGGACCATGTCGTCCACAACAGCAAATCCAGCACCAAGTGTGTCCCTGAATTTCACCTTGAACCCTCCCCACTGTGCAGCTGTGTGTGAGAAATGTGATGGAGAGGTGGCGATTCGGCTGCTAATCAGAACAGGGGGGATCAGCCTCTGTACTTTTGGAACCTGTGCAGACTTGTGTTACAAATGCCCTGGGTCTGGGGCGCCTGGGTGGCTCAGTCGGTTGGGCGACTGCCTTCAGCTCAGGTCATGATCCTGGAGTCTCGGGATCGAGTCCCGCATCGGGCTCCCTGCTCAGCAGGGAGTCTGCTTCTCCCTCTGACCCTCCTCCCTCTCATGTGCTCTCTCTCATTCTCTCTCTCTCAAATAAATAAATAAAATCTTTAAAAAAAAAAAATCCACTTCTGTGTAAGAACTGAACTAGTAGCACCATGTTGAAAGTATTACACTAAGGGCGCCTGGGTGGCTCAGTCAGTTAAGCGACTGCCTTCGGCTCAGGTCATGATCCTGGAGTCCCAGGATCGGGTCCCGCATCGGGCTCCCTGCTCGGCAGGGAGTCTGCTTCTCCCTCTGACCCTCCTCCCTCTCATGCTCTCTCTCTCTCATTCTCTCTCTCAAATAAATAAGTAAAATCTTAAAAAAAAAAAGAAAGAAAACGAAATGCCCTGGGTGACAAATGAACAAATTTTGTATGAGTCCCTGTCTTGAGGCCATTCCATTATTACCTAAGAGCGCCTGCACACGCACGCACACCCCCCCCCCCCCAGATGTTCCCTAAATCCAGGACATGCTACCGTCTGGGCCGAGTCCCTATTTTCAGTCCCCTCCTGCTCTCTCCTCGGGACACATGCAGGCAGAGACCTGGGCCTGGCAGAAGGGTGGTCTGCTTCGGTTGCTGTGGGCCAGGGATCCAGCTGCTGACCTCCCAAGAGCTGCAGGCCTTTGCTTCTCAAGCACCACCTCTCAGCTGCTGATGACAAACCCCATTCGATCTTATTTTGATATCAAATCTATGTTTTAATGCGGGTTGTGATAGGCAGCTCAAGAATGGCAGATTTCCGTTTCCATAGGTGTTACCCTTAGTTAAACCCATCGTAAGTTATATGCACTTACGCATTATATCCTTAGTTTGCCAGCCGGAAGTGTACTGAGAGTGACAAAGCATTATTTTCAGCGGAAAAAGACTCAGATGTGTATGAACGGGTGGCTCCCCTGTGTGGAGGTGGGCATGACCCACTGTGAATAATGTTGCCTGAAATGTAATTCAGATTATTTTCCTCTGCCCTCTAAGATGGCTTTGCCAGTGCAGTTCAAGGGAGGGCCACGAGCATGTTATTCCGGGCATGACTCCGGCTGTGCTGGGCAGATTTGCCAGCAGGTTTCTGAGGAATGTTTAGCAGAGCCTGTCTGGAGTCAGAAGTCACAGTGATTAGGAGCTCAGGTTCTGGAATCACACAGTTTGGGTTCAATTTTGGCTTTATCAGTATTAGCTGTGTGACCTTGAGCAAACTGGGCCTGAATTTACCCATCTATGTAAAGGGAATAGTACTGATTTCATAGGGTCTTTGGAAGAATCAATACAAGATTACGTCCACGTAAAGCATTCAGTGCAGAGTACATGTGTACTCTGTATAAATAACATAAATGATATACATATACCTAACATACAATACATAATATACATATACATAAGAGACAGGGCTGAGAGATGCCAGATGGGTATGCCACCCTCCTGACGCCTCCCGCCCCCCCTGGCTGACGTCCATCAGTGAAGGTGGCGTGACGACCACTGAGGGAAGGCACTATGGGGAGCTGTGTAGTCCAGGGGTTAGGGGCACAGATCCTGTGGGGTTTACATTCATCTCCACCATTTATGCGCTATGCCTATAGGCAAGTATTTACTCTCCTTGAGCTTCAGCTTTATCATCTGTACAATGGAGATCATAATATCCTCATATTTCACCAGGAAGCTGTGAGGATCAAATAAGATAAAGCATGCTCAGTGCTGAGCACAGCGCCTGACACAGGGTTCCGTGCTAAATAAATGGCAGCTGATTATTTTATTGATATTATTTCCCTGCCAGTTGCCTTAGGCATCCTGGGTGCATCCTTCTTACCCCCTCTGAGTAATGCAGTGCTTGGGAGATGGAAAGAGGAGAGATGAACTTCTGAGCCTGAATCCGAAGCCAGCTTCTGCCACACGCACTACTGCCGGAAGTCAAACGATTTCATAACCTCCCTGACCTTGAGTTTTCTCATCTGCAAAGTAGGGCCTTCAAATGCCCGGCACGCAGTCCGACCTGAGGGATGGACGAGCTTGTGCGGGTCAACAGAGCCAGCACATGAGAAAAATGTGAGACACGGCGGCTCCGTTTTAAAAGGGTGGGGTTCGGGGCGCCTGGGTGGCTCAGTGGGTTGAGCGACTGCCTTCGGCTCAGGTCATGATCCTGGAGTCCCGGGATCGAGTCCCGCATCGGGCTCCCTGCTCAGCGGGGAGCCTGCTTCTCCCTCTGACCCTCCCCCCTCTCATGTGCTCTCTCTCATTCTCTCTCTCTCAAATAAATAAATAAAATCTTTAAAAAATAAAATAAAATAAAATAAAAAATAGGGTGCCTGGGTGGCTCAGTGGGTTAAGCGACTGCCTTCGGCTCAGGTCATGATCCTGGAGTCCCGGGATTGAGTCCCCCATCGGGCTCCCTGCTCGGCGGGGAGTCTGCTTCTCCCTCTGACCCTCCTCCCTCTCATGCTCTCTGTCTCTCATTCTCTGTCTCAAATAAATAAATAAAATCTTAATAAAAAAAAATAAAAGGGTGGGGTTCTTCTTCCTCAATGAGTAGAGAGGTCACCTCAATTCTTGGTGACTCTTATTTTCCATACTCCATGATGGAGACCAAAATGGAACAATTTTAATATGAACCAGAATACTCTAGTAACAATTTGGGGTTTCTGGTCCCCGGCAGTCAGTCTTGGGCCTTTGGTCTACAGTGCTCTAACCTCAGGGCTCTGGTCAGGCCATGGCTCACGCACTCCCCGTGATCAGCCCCACACACGTTCACTCTGACAAAGGCAACAGGAAGGGAAGGTTGAGTGACCTACTTCAGGAGAAGGCCAGTCCCGGGAGAGACCCTGCAGTGGAGAACTTGCTAGAGTCCACAAAAGACTGGTCTGATTATGGCGACCACAGGGAATGAAAGAGGAGAAAAGAGAAATGCTGATATTAGTAAGTGGAAATAGTATTCTTAAGCAAATCCCGGGCCTGAGCACAATTGCTGGAGTTGGAAAGAGGACAGCTCAGGCAACTCCAGCAGAGAAGGGATGTGTGGGGCCAGGGGCCAGGGCCAAGGAGAGTGAATACAAAGGAACAAATAAAAGGAGGGCAGAGAGAAGCAGGCCAGCCCAAGGCTGATCCCTTGCACCAGTGACGCATCTGCTTCAGGCCCTGGGAGGGTGAAGTCAGGGCATCCTGTTGGCCTGGGTGGGGCTTACCTTGCAGGCTGTTCCCATTGGTGCTGGTGCAGGTGGGAGGCGGGGAGGTCTGGGGTCTGACAACTGGCGCGAAAGCACTCTTCTGTTTCACGGCTGAGACCATGTTGGCTGGTGAGAAGGAGAAGATGCCCGAGGAGCTGCTGCAGTTGGAGGGGAGGCTTGTGGAGGAGGCCATGGTGGGGCTGGATGGCACAACTGGGTGGGGCAATGGGAAAGGAGAAATCAGCACCTCTCCTGGCATGTGAGATTACACAGCTCAGCTCTGCCCTTCACCCAGCCACCCTGCTCAGGCCACCCTTCCAGCACGAGCCTTCCCTGAACGCTTGGGATCTTAGCTGCTTTCATCACTTGGTGCTTGGCACGTGCGACCTTTTGTTGGTGGTGATCTTTTATGTGTTTATTCTGGGTCTACTACATGCTGGGCAATGTGCTAGGCACTGGGGCATCCCAGGCCATGAAACGAAAGTTTCATGCCTTGGGCTGGCCTGCTTCTCTCTGCCCTCCTTTTGTTTGTTATTTTGTGCTACCCTATCCCTTATAAGATAGGGTAGCACAAAATAATGACAAAGGTGAGCGTGGCCAGCTCTGCAGAGGCAGGGAAGAGAACCAAGGAAGGCTTCATGGGGGAGGTGTCAAATGAAGCATTCCAGGTAGGGCCTAAACTAAGGTTCTAGCAAAGGGACTGGCAATGTAAGACACAGGAGGAGACCAGCCTGAGACAGTGTGGTCACCGATGGAATGAGAGGTGTGAGGAAGAAGGGTAGGTTGCAGGTAATGCCAGGATTCCAACTTAAAGCACTGGCAGATAGTGGTGTGTATGTGCCCCTGTTCTCCCCATGAAGCTATGAGTTCCCTAAGGATACGACTGTGCCTGAATGCTTCACACACACAGATACAGCTAGGTAGGAGGCCAGGTGGATAAAAAGACTACCACAGGCAATATTTGGGGATAATGCAGAACTACAAGTCAAAGTCACAAATTCTTTCTATCCCCGTAGAGCTGTACATGAACACTTGTGAATTAATAAGCAGTAGGACAGAAGCTTTGTGTAAATACTCACAGTGTAGTAGTAGTGGGGATGTGGATTATCAATGATGGGAGAATTTTGGCAATTCATGGAGGGAGAGAACCTAGTTGCTTGGAGACATGAGTTTGGTAGATGCACATTCTCTACTGACCATGGTCCTTTCAGCCTGGCCATTCATATTTCGTTAGTTACTAATGATCTCATGGTTACTTCAGGAGACAGAGATTTTGCATACAGTGAGCCCTCTCCACTCAAGACCAGTATGTTCATATACTCACCTTCTATTTCCTCCATCTCCTCGGGAAAAGTATGGATCTTGCCCAGTAATTTTCAAGCATTTAATTCAAATTCTAAGTACTTCCTTCTACTGTATTATTTTTTCCCATGATGTAATAAACATTACATATTGCTTTATCATTCACAAGAATCTTCATGTCTTTTTCATCTTATGTCACTGTCAAAGCAACCTTAAGTTGGGGCCTATTACATCCCTTTTACATCTGAGCAAGCCGAGCAAGCTGAGACTCAAAAAATAGTTTTGTGACATGCCCAAGGGCCAGAGCTGGAATGTGGTGAAGCCAGGAACCAGACCCAAATCCAGTGTCTTTTCCACTACACTCCCCTGCAAAAGAAACCAATCCCCAGGGAAAAAGTCCTCCTTCCCATGAGCCCACTGGAGTCTAGATTGCTGGGTAGGGGGCTGGCCTTCCCTTGGCCTACTGGCTGTGGACAGAGGGAAGTGGGATTCAAATGGGTCTAGGCAACAACTGCCATCAGGGGGAAATGACCCCTTGGAATCAGCCCTCAGCACTACACAATCCAAAGGCACTGAATGCTTGATGGAACGGAACACTGGGCCGCCATCCTCAGAGTTTTCACAAATATGTTCTACACTGTACTTTTTCTTTTAATGAGGCCAGCATTTTTATACATCTCTTAGGATTTGTAAATGTGAAAATACGCTCAATAATAACACCCATTTAAATTGCAAAACTCCTGCACTGGAGGTTTGATTTTTAAATATTCGTAGACTTGAAATCCTGCTGGTTCACTGAGGAAGGCAATTAATCTCGTTGGCAAATGCGATCATTATGTGTATTTAGAGGTGGGGAGTTTGAGGGGGTGGTTAACAGAGGAAAGGATGAAATATAGTCAAGCAGCTCCATTTGTTACAACATTATTAGTTATCAGCCACCACACCACAAAGTGTGTTCACCAGTGCAATGTCTTATTTTATTTTTTATTCTGTTCGGAATTTTTCAACATGAGTGGTTTATGAATAATTAAATATTATGGAGGCAAAAATTCAAATCAGCTGGGCTTTGTGTTTATTGTTTTATTTGCATTTATGCAGATAAAACCGTCCCATCTGAGAGCCTATTTGAGAATTTAATACTATATTTGTGAGCACTGAGGAAATCAATTAATGGAAATTAAATGTTGGAAGTTTCACAGACTGACAGATGCAGTCTCAGGCTGAAGTTGCTGGGTGTCTGCATGGGCTTGGGAAGACAGCTATCCAAGCCCCTAAATTGAATTGCTACCATATAGCAATTAGTTTATTGATTTAATTAAGAACGCCACCTTTTAATTTTCAGGTCATGATTGAAACATTTTCTGATTGAGTAGATGGGAGAACACTGAAATGATAGATCTATGAGAAACCATCTTTCGATGAATCAAAATCCTCAAACTGGTCCCGTTGACATAATGCAGGCAGACATAATGTATGCAGATTATTTGGGGACATTTTAAACGCTCAAAAAGCTGCTGATTCCGAACAGATAAAGTGGAAATATAAAATTTAGCACACACTGAGCATAAAAAGTCAACAAGAAAGTAAAAGGCACTAAGTATTACTTTCAGAAATAACCTTTCTCAAAGGCCAAGAATGATCTTTCCTCTCTCAAAGGATTAGAACACTCCACATTTCCACCATCAGAGACAGCACGGTTTCTAGGTTTTTTTAGCCAAGACTCTTTAAAAAAAAAAAAATCATGAGTATTCTTTCATTTAACAACACATCTTCTATCATTCCACAAATGTCTAAGAGTTCGGCCTCATTTCACAAAACGGAAGAGTCACCCACACTGTCCAAGATAAACTTGGTTATCTAGGTACAGATCCTCAGCAGGAGATCAAGAGATTGTAGAAACACAGCCCAGGACAGTTTATATGTAAAGATGCCAGTTCCCTGAGGTTCTTTAGATGCAATCTAAATGTTGTACTGGAAATTCTTGAAGCTAAACTTCTTTAAGGCGAGGACAAGGCACCAAAAAAAAAAAAAAAAAAAAAAAAATTTCTTGTGTATGTGTGTTTTTTCATCTTGCCAGATTTTTGGAAAAAATAAAGTGTTTCTGTTGTTGCTATTGTTTGTTTTCTGGTATACATCAAGCACAAAGGGGAAAAAATTCCAAGCATTTAAAAAAAAAAAAAAAAGGAGTCCTATTCCTAAAGGGAGAGATGTGAAGTCTTAGACTGTTGTGTTCAGTCTAAGACTGAAGTCTTAGACCGTCATCACGATGAATTAGGTTTCCTGACTGTGACTCTTGTGGGCCAGACATCAGGACAAGCTCATTCCATGCATTATTTTATCAAAGTCGCACAACTGTATGGGGTGGGGGGAGGATGCTAGTTCCCTCCCCATTTTACAGATGAGCAAACTGAGGCATGGAGAGGAGAGAACTTGCATAGGGCCGACAGTCAGTAACTGGTAGAATCAGGGGTCAAACCCATCTCCACTCCGACTCGAAGCTTGGGTTCTGGTGATGACATCCTACTGCTGCTTTGGGTTTTAACAAAGTTCTGACAACGAGGGAGACTCTGGGATGAGGAAGGTGAGCAAGGGAAGGCAGAGATTTCTGCCAGAGACAAATGGCGCCTTTCATAGCATCACCTGGGTGGGAGCCCTCAGGCTGAAGAGACCCTGTACAGTGGGCCACACAGCCCACTCCAGTGGGCTCCAGTTCTTGGAGCAAAAGCACGCAGAAATGCAGAACACACGGGTCTACTTACTGGCATAGGGCGAGTTGGCAGCTGAGCCGTTGAGGAAAGTTGGGGAGCCGCCCAAATTGGACATGGCAGCCGTGCCGTATCCGTTCATGCTTGTGCTGACGGAGTTATAGTTGGTCTGCTGCGGGGTGGTGCTCGGCACGTACCCGTGTGGTGACACGCTGCTTGAGTTGCGGGTGAAACCTGAGGGGTGGGGGCAAAGCCGGGGATGAGGGTGGCAATCCGGGAAGGCTCGGGGACAGGAAGGTCTCTGGTTCTTGCCCCATCGCCGCATCCCGGAGGGAAGGGCTTGGGTGATTCATGTGCGTGGGTTGGTGGTGCTAGCTCTGTGATTAAAATGGGAAGCGAGCAAAACACACATTTCTTAGGAGATCATAAATACTTAGCAGGGCCGTGAGAAGTGGCAATGTAGGGCCTATAAATTATCATTTTGGAGCAGAAATAAATCCCAATCTAAGAGATGTACCCTGGAGTTAACAGGTTCTTATTCCCTGGGCAAGTATGATGTGCTTTGGCCCCTCAGAACTTTAATTCCAAGCCTCTTTGCGATCTGTCATTCATGGTTTATGATGAAAAGTCAAATGGAGAGATGGCTAAGTGCATGCATCCTTTCTAGCCTCTGATACCACACTGCCAGTCGTGATAGCTATCACCCAAATTCTACAGCAATATCTGATACACACAAACTAGGAATCTCCCCTATTGGGAAAAAAAAATGTTTTTAAATAAAAACGGTTTCGTGCCAAATAAATGGTGGGGTCTGGGGGCAGGGGGGGGCGGGGGGCGTGAAGAAGCCTGAGGTTGGGAAGGGGCAGGGCAATGGGGAGGGAGGAGGGCAGGCTCCTGACCCTGATTGGTGGCCTGCGACGCCTCGGAGACATTCACAGCCAGCTGTCCGCTGAAGGAGTTCACGCCCATCATGCCCGCGTGGACCGAGGTGTTAGTGAGGGCGGGGAGCTGGCTGTGGTTGCGGGGGACGCTGTACAGGGCCTCCGCAATGTCCGCTGCTCTCTTCAGAATAATTTCCTGCAAAGTAAAAGCAGTAGCCCCTTAGCTACCCTAGTCATACTCCCAGGAAAACCATCTATTCCAGTGTTTGTTTTATGCCAGGCAAGGTGCTCAGGGCCTTGACTTCCACAACCTCTCGGCAAACCTAGGACAAGTCTCATCATCATCGGGCCCATATAGCAAATGGGGAAACTGAGGCGCAGAGAGACGTGAAGCACTCACTTAAGGACACTCGCCTATTCAAGGACAGAGCTGGGCTGCATACCTTGTTTGTCTGACTTTGAAGGGCCATTGTCTTAGGCATCCCTTCATACTACCCCACATGTGACAGGGCCATGGCGTTTCCCTCTGCTGCCAGTAACACACAGGACCTCTGGTGTTACACACACACACACACACAGCCTGCAGCTCATCTCCCCTGCTAAAGTTAAGGGCGGTTTGCAGATGACTCCCTGTGTCCCCGAGTATTAGTGGAACTGTGTCCCCTGGACACTGATTCAAGTGACACACAAAAAAGGGAGTGAATGATTGCTCAGACTCCTAGTTTCCAGAGCAATCGGAATCCTATACACGGAGTAGCTCCGTGAATAGAAGCAGACAATTATATTCAGGCCTTATTATGCGTTTTAGGAGAAAAAATTAAACCCCCCTTTTCCTCCTAAATTTGCTTGAAAACCTGAGAGGAATAAAATAAAACATCAGTAACTCTCTTCCTCAATTATGAAGCACATTCCCACAGAAGATTCCTTTTAAATGGAGTCCCGTTTCCCCTAAGGAAAATGATTCTATACAAAAGGTAATAAAAGATTTACAAAACAAGAAAGAAGAACTGAATAGCCTGACGTGTTATGTCCGGATGACACTGAACTCATGCAAGTGGCTTTCATATTTTTCACCATTTCTCGACACAAGAAGGAGTCCGCGCTCTTCAAATGAACGCAGAGGCCCACGCAGTTTCGAGCCCCAGGACCGCTCACCTGGTTGTTGTGTGGCATCCCATACAGTGCCTCCACCAGATCCGCGGCCCTTTTGAGGATGACTTCCTGTCAAGAGAAAAGCAGATGCAATCCTCCGAGTGACAGCCAGTTGCTGTTATCTTTTCACAAGACCACGTTCCAGTTCCCTCTGGCCAGACTTGGACACTGCACTGCTTTAAAGGCAGTAGCTCGGGGAACCCCAGAATGGTGTTAAATCACCAATTTATCCCTGTTCACATACACACTTAATTGAGTCAAAAGGTGAGCATCATTGGTATTGCAAGATAAAATACATCACTCAATAGTCTGCCATCGGCACAGTAAAGCACTCATATGTTTATTGCTGAATACAATTGCGAGGTCATTTACTAGATTACTACAATCGATGTCATTCGGTGCATGTTATGAATCCCTAAGATGTGTTTATTTAGTACTTAATTGCTTATTCCAGGAACCACGACCTTAACAGACAGGTCATTTTCGAGGGATTTCCAATCAATCTTTGGCTACTAGAAGCATGTAGCATTAAACTTCTTTTGTTTATCTCCCTTGTGTGGCAGAGCCAGGATATAAGGGAGTGATGGAGTAAACTCACATTTCTGAGGCAATGCGTTGTTTGTCAGAGGCTCTTACAAAAGGATTCTCCTGCCCCCAGAAGCTCTCTCTGCACCAATTTTCATGACTGGCAGAGTCTGCTTCTTTTATAGCAATCCTTTGCTATTCCGGTATTGTTTGTCATTTTCCCCATTTGCTCATTCATTCTCATCCCAGATATATGCTCTGCTTTTCATTCCGGTTGAAGAAAAAAAAATGTCTCCCTCTTCATTTAGGTGGACTTCCACATTTAGCCTGCATGCTTATTTCTAATAAATAGCGCACTCTACAAAAGTGTGTGTGGTGGTAATTTTTTTCTTCAACCAAAAGAAGTTGTTCCCTCTTCATTCTGCCCTAATTGTCTGCAGATTCATTTATATTGGAAGATGAAGAGGGAAGTTAAGCTTGTAAAATGGAGGCTTATGAGAGAAGCAACCATAAAGGCGTGGCATGATTATCAGATGTGATTTGCAAGAAGATATGTTTACAACTTTTTTTGCCATGGGTAAAGTTGCAAAAAGAAGTTTAACTTTAAATATTTTACACAATAGATTTCTGCATGGAGAAGCAGCAGTGTTCGATTTTCATATACTGTAGACGCTGATCAGAAAATAGGGATATAATTACATTCATTTTGCTGTCATCATAGCCTCTTCAAAAATCCTTGAACAACTCTTAAAATGACAAGCTTTTAGATATATATTAGCATTTTTCAATTTTAAATTTTCTATAATATAAGATAAAATAGTTGTCATACCGCAGTAACTACTTATGACATATATAATGTCCTAAATTCAAAAATGAGATAGAAGGGTTTTCAGGTTTCAATAAACATTTATGCTTGCCTTAAGCTGCTAGACCCCATTTATAAAACAGTTCAGTTATATTTCATATAAGGAGTGTAAAGCATTATATAATCAATGGAGTTTGAATCAATACATCTGAAATAATTTTTCTTTTTTTTAATGCAAGCTACAAGATTATTTACCACTTTTTGTTTGCAGTATTGTCTGACCACAGCAGTTAATAATTTACTATGTTATGGCCACACTAAACCCTACCCCCATATCAAATTCGGCCCTTGCTGCTTTCACTAAAACCTCATGGCTTTATCTAGCTCTTAGGAAAGATTAAAACAAAATAGGATCAAGTTAGTTTATTTACTAAGATTTGACTTCTCTGGGTCTACGTTCATTTATTTCTCCAAATAAATATTTATAACAGTGTTTGGGTTTGGCAGAGAAGATATTTTTCTTTCTTTTCATTTTAGGAAAAAAACAAGTCTCCTGTTTGTCAAAAGCAAGATGAGGTGCAGTTGGAAACTGCGCTTGTGAATTTCAGTCTTGGAACACTATCATTGAGGACTCTGAGCAATGCTTATTTTCATTAATTTCACAGAACCAGGGAGGAGAGAAGTTCAAAATAAACTCCAAGATCTTTGAAGTTTTCATAAACCTGAAAAAATTCCAACTACCAGTGCATGCTATACATTTTACTCTCATATATTTTTGATGATAAAGTTTTCCAGTGACACAATCCAACTGTTTCTTTTTCTGCTTATTTAATACCCAGGGTTCTAATCACCATTTAATCCTTTGAAAATGAAACATGTGAATCTTGCTTCTTAAAGTTATATCCCTCTTCCATCCAAGGAGCTGGGTCATGCTTTCCCACTAGGCACATGGCCATAGGCGGGTCATTAGCCTGGCATCACTTCAGACCAGCAGTCTTGTGGAGAGTGAATCTGGATTTTTTTCCTGAAAGTGATTTCCTTAAATGATATCTTGCCCATTTTAAAATGTCCTTCACTGCAATATCGACTTTGGGATTTAAGGGACAGCCCACATTTGGTTCAGCTTTGCCAGTGTAATTCAGCTTCTATTAGTTATTTCTGCAAATGGGAAGGAGAAAGGAAATTTCTGGGTCCTCTATGAGTTAGTGTAGCGGACCTGCAAGGTGCTTGGATTTTGGTGACCAGAAAATTGCTCTCACCTCCATGTCATTACGCTCCCAGTGAACTAGCCCCCAAGCGTGTTTGTGTTGGGGATCTAATATATTGCCTTTCAATCAGAGCTGAGAGCCACTGAACACACAGACAGAACATGACGAGCAGGTCAGGAAAGCAATAAAGATTTTACAGAGCTGTCCAAGGTGCTAAATTTACTCAATAATGGGTTTGGCACCATAGTGTTAACCTCTCATTTACTACCAGTTTGAGGGACTAAATTGAAGTAGCTGACTTCATTTACCTTGAAATGTATATTTTATGACATTATGTAAGTAGATTGAAAGGGCACTGCAGTTTTAACAATTTAAAGGCTAAAGCATGTTTAAGATGAAACTTGAATATTTATTGTATATTGCACTTAAAGTATATAGAATGTTAAAACGTATTGATTAAATTTGTAAAAGGCATTATAAAAATGACAGGTAGTATAAAAGATGTATGCCTTTTAAAATCAAATTGATAGTGTATGCTATCTCTTCTGTGGTCACAAGTGTAATTTTTTCGCAGTTTTATATGGTAATTTGAAAAATCTGTAATTTCACATTAGGAAATGATTGAGCCTGGGATGTTAAAAAAAAAAAAAAGGAAGAAGTTTCCCATAGCAGGAAGAACTGGATGTTTCACATAATCTTTTGTCTCTGAAATTGTTCCTAAAGTCTTATTTTTTGTGGCATTAGGAGGGAGTATAGTATAAGGATCCTTCCATTCTAATATGCAATTTTAATATTTCTGAAAAGAAAGAGCACTTGACTAGTACTAATATCCAATTTTTCAAGGCATTTATTTGTCAGGAGAGATTTTCTCTTCTTTCCATAATGTTTAAAACATCTCCCTGCTTGCAGTTTAAAAGATGAAGGTAGAGATTAGATTCTTCTAAGATAATTAATCCTATCCTTGGATTAAAAAAAAAAAAAAAACCCAGTAGGGAATAAAGAAGACAAATACTAGTATCCTAAATATTGAAAATCCCCAGAGTCTCCTTATAGAACTAATGCTTGTTTTCCAATCTACGTCCTTAGTCGGACTATTTTTCTTTTCATGGCCTTGGATCTCCTCTCTTAAAAACAAAAAATGTTTATTCTTTAAAAACAACAACTTTCATTGATCTATTTTCTCTCACAGTTAAAACCCGGTTTTAGAGGGGAGGGGGGTGGGGGGGATGGGTTAGCCTGGTGATGGGTACTAAGGAGAGCACGTACTGCATGGAGCACTGGGTGTTAAACGCAAACAATGAATCATGGAACACTACATCAAAAACTAATGATGTACTGTATGGTGACTAACATAACATAATTTTTAAAAAAATGGTTTTCCCTGTCCTGTTATGACCATTGGTTGATGATAATGTGAATAGGGTTCTGCAAAGAGAAAAGGGGATAAGCTATTTAGAGTCTACAGAAACACTGGGGAAACCCAATTCCGAGAAACAGTTCAAGCATAATTGTTATGGGTTTTTACTTATGTTTCAGAGCCTTTATAATAAAGATGCTGAATGGACTACAAATACGGAAGGAGGATTCACCTTTACTTCCTATGTTGCAACCCCATCAATTAGCAAATAAGTTCTGAGCTTCTTGTTGTCCCAGTAGTCAACAAACTGACATTGCTCTCCAGCACTTTTCAAGGCACATTACCCTCCCAGAATTAAGGTACAGGCTTCTATAGGGATTACAAAAGATTCTCCCCATCATCTGGTCCTACCCTCTTTATCCAATCTCCTCTCCCTACGGATGTGAAGAACTGCTCTTTATTTTGGTCTAGCTAGTCCTCCCTAGCCTAGAACAAAACGTTGGCTCTGTCCCATCTCCAGTCCCTCACTCCTTTCACCTTTTCTTTATTTGGAATACTGGCTTCAGTCTGTGCCCATTTACGATGACTTCTCATCCTCCAAAGCCTGGGAATGAAGGTGGTGATGGTGGTTTGGTTAATGCTAAAAATAACTGCCGTTTATTGAAAGTGGAACATGAACTCATCCAGTCTTCACAGAGAGCCTCTTAAGGTGCTGCTTTGGCAGATGAGGAAACCAAGACTCAGAGAGGAGAGCCAACTTTCCCTAAGTCCGCACAGCTGACGACTGGCTGGGCAGGAATTGAATCTCGGGTGTTAGGCGTCAGAGCCCGTGCTCTGAGAATTGCCCTGTGCCATCAGAAGGAATCCCACCCTCACCACAGCTTCAGATCTCTCTCCCTCCTTGGAACAACAGTGCGGATGGATCCGTCTGGCACAGCACAGCCACAGATGCCGTGGGGCCATTTAGCTCTGATTTCAACAGTGTTCGTCTTCACTCTCCACCGCTAGGCTGTAGGCCCTTTGAGGCCCTGAATATCTGATCACCTTCTCCAAGCCCCTACCGCCATGTCCAGCAGACCATAGGCCTTGAGAAATTCTTGTTGAAAAGTTTATTCTAAGATAGTTTCTGATTTTTAAAAGTACATGCTTGATTTATATGATGAAATGACAAAAG